AGCCTTCTCTTCTCCAGGCTGAACAACCCCAGTTCTCTCAGCCTTTCCTCATAGGAGAGGGGTTCCATCCCCCTGGTCATTCTTGTGGCCCTCCTCTGGACCTGCTCCAACAGGTCCGTGTCTTTCCCGTACTGAGAACTCTAACTCTTACCAGTTTCAGAATAATGGAGCTATAAAAAGCTGCCAAACTTAGATGAGCTGAAAGAAAAGCTTTATTTCTAAAGATGCACAAAGGGAATGACATAAGCTGTGACTGATGAGGTGTGTCTGAAATGTTGACAGTTATCAGGCAAATGGCATTTCATTCCTCTTGCCAGTGATGATGGAGCCCAGCTCAGCGTTACAATCTACAGAAGCTGATATACTTTTTCTTGGAAGTGTGGTTTCCTCCTTTTTAGGAGGAAAAATATGAAACAAAAATATTTTGGTTCTTTGAAAATACATGTTTTATATGGGACAGCTATCTATCAGTTCCTACCCTTACAGCCAATAATGGGAGGGATTAGTCTTAAGACAATATTTTCCTTCATTTTTTTCTGTCCATCTGACTCATAAGAGGCTGGCTCCTTTTTTACACCACAGAGATGAGCTTACAAAGCAGTTGTGATGCCTCTTGTCACTATGAATCTGGCAAACTTCTTCCAACAACAGCAAATTGTGCAGTACAGTAATCTTTGCTCCTTGCTTTGGAGCTTATACTGGAAGATCTGGACTTTGGGGCTGATCTCATGTCCAAAGACTAAAACTCCCATTAGCAGCAGCGGAGCAGGATTGGGTATGTAGTCCACGGAAAGTGATTTGAGTACATAGAGAAAGGTAGGCATACTGCTCTTTATATGGGACAGTATTTGTGTCTGATAATTTTTTTAATTGAGAACTGATCTGGTAAATCATATATTTAATGAAATTTAAAGTGAACGAAACTTTGAATGAAATCAAATGAAACTTTAAAAGAAAAAAAAAGGGGAGAGAAAGACAAAGATATATCAAATATACACGGGGGGGGAAATAATCCCATTTTGATTGTAAAAAGGATTATGTACTATGATGGTTATTTACACACACAGAAATAAATGCCAAGGCTTAGGTTCTGTTTAGCTGTTTAGGGCAACAGAACTAATCTATGAATAATGATCCAGCATATCAAACTAGTGGGTTCTCTTAACATCTATCATTGAACCCTACCCAAGATATTTGGAAGCAGAACATCAAAAATGAATGTCATCTGACAGCAGCCAGATTACTACCAGAGTTAAAATAGCCCTGGACATGTAGTTCATGATGTGTCATATACAAGTGGTACATATCCGTTTACTGTGGGTGTTGTAGTGGTGAGGTTGTTTGAACTAACAGCCATGCATCACATACTTCAGCACTCAGCTCTTCGGTCACAGTTAAAGAATCTACATTAGAAAGATATTTAACTTATCTTAATGAGCAATATTATGAGACACGCAGGATTTAGATACTCGCTTTGTTAGTTATTGTCTGAATATTATAGCAGGCATAACTATAATACATACGGTAGGTTGAGATATGTATTATAGTTTGCATTTGAAAACCATGCATTTACATTTGTACATTATGCCATAATAATTTAAAAAGTCTCTCCTACAGACAAAAGCATGTTTTGTCTGAGTTTTGTAGAATTAAAAAAGATAGCTTTTAAGTCTCTGATACCATTCTTTCTACTTTACAGACTTTCTACTGAGTTGCCTTAGCGGTAGCCACTGTAAGTTAGTGAAGTCTCTCTCTTACAAAGGATTGCAGCAGGAGGCCTCAGAGTTGCAGAAATAATAGAATATGATATATTGAAATGGAAATGAAGACTACAACCTTATAGTCTGGAAAAATCACTTGATAACGAAAGACTGGTTTTATTTTTGTTATTGGCTCAGACTCACTTTTTTATCTAATCACATCTGGTCCTTTTAGTTACTTGTTGTCTTTCACCTAGTCACTATAATTTCAATGATATTTTATCAGTGTCCCACATCTGATGTAATTTCACACATCTAACTTCTGTTTGCCTTTTTGCATCTTTCTTTGTCAAGTATAATCTAATCTAATTTGCTGTTTTTAAAAGCAAAATGTTACCAGAAAGTTGTGAGATCCTTTCTCATTAGCAAGATTTGATTTTTATGCACTTCAACACTGCGGTCTGCCACTTTCTATTCCATTAAGTAAGCTAGCAGATGCTACCTTCAGAGGCAGCATAATCTGCTTTACATCCACAGACATAACCAAAGTCAGGGAAATTATTTTTGATGTTCTGTATTAGTAAACCCCTAATAAGTTACTGGGGGCAGGAAAAAAGCATTTTTCAAGTCTGCTGTAAATAATAGCAACAAAAAGTTCATAGAAATTCTACTGTAATGGAAAACCATTGTTACCTAAATATACAGAATATTGCTCATAATAGACTCTAAAGTCCTCTGTCCTGTATCTGTGCAGATACTTCTGCACATTCCCCAAATGAAAGCAGCAACTTCTGTGGTGGCACACAGTCACTATAGAAACAAGTAACATCCACTCTGGTTAAATTAATAAAATGCGCTTTTTTCCTGAAATGCTGTGGGAAGTTTTTTCTGTTTCAGAAATGAAATCTTGGCCATGTTTCTGATTTCCTCCCCCTCCCTTCTACTTCTGCTCTAAACAGTTGCTCAAATTCAGTGTCTCATATATTAAAATATTCAGCTAGCATAAAAGCTCAAGTAAATACTGAAGCTGTAGATTCTGTGCTTGCAATAGGATCCGGCAGAAACATCCCGTATGTCGTGTGTTATTCCACTGTTGAAAGTTGTTCTGTGTTGCAGATTTCAAAACTGTATTTAAAAAAAACCCCTTACACCACCCTCCTACCCCAATTGTTCCAATTAAGCTCTTTTAATGTATATTTTATTGGCTGAAACAGAATCAGTGTAATCTTTTCTAATCTTTTTCTGGTTCATTGCGAGGTCCATCAAAACCAAAAAAAGCCTTTCCACCTACTTTAACTGCAGTTGGATCTAGTTGATAGCTCTGACAGTTTTTCATGATGGTCACATGTAATGAGCTTCACGTCCTAATATGTTTGCCTTAAGAAAATGTTGTGTGGGAATTAGTATGACTTGAACTTCTACATGGATAATAAGTAAATAACCTATTTTGTTTTCTATTGAGAAATTTTGCGAAGTCAACACAGTGCCTGTATAGGGGGAAGATATATGTAAAGTATATGTAAAGTCCTGAGTGTGTCTGAAAAGCCACCACATTATAAGAAAGCGTAGGAAATGGAGAGTTATCAGAGGTCACAAGTCTGTGTATTTAGGTGAAGAAAATTACTGTCAGGTGTTGTATAAAATGAAATTTTATTGCTTTGGAATTGAGCAGTGTTATTGCTCAGCCCTAATAGGTATATAGTGGTTTTCCACTTCAAAGTCCAGAAGACACATTTATTTATTGAAAAGAATGGATCATGATGATGAATTCTTGTTCTCACCAAGGTCACAGAAATAGAGATCTCTTTGGCAGAGCGGTGGTCAGACCAGAGTGACTTCACAGCCTACCTTGATGTTGCAGTGCAGAAGCAGCCTTGATACCATCTGGAGATGGAAGTGCCAGAGTGTCCTCCAGATCAGCTTTGAATGACATAGATCGTATAGCTGGGGAGAAACCTGGCCTGCAAGCATGTTTTGGAACACTTAAGTGTGAATGGGCACTGGTACTCTGTGCCTGACCTCTTTGGTGTGCCCTAGCTGCCATTGTGCCAACATGGTACAGGCAACGTGAAGCATCTGAGATGGCACAAAGCTTTTCTAGAAAGATTCTGATGTCACAGGTGGGATTTGTAGGCAGTCTGAATTCAAGGATAAAATATGTTGGTTTTATGGAGCTGAGTCAGAAGCACACCAGGCTTCGGTCTGTTCGCAGCACCTACCATTTTAAGCAAATATAAGCATGGCCTTAATTTACATATGTTACTCCAACTTGATCTCATCTGCTTCTGGATACCAAATTTTCTTGCTTTTTGCTGTTTAATTCAAGACTGATTCAATAGTGCTAAGCTTCACTGTGCCTGCTGCAGTTGTTACAAAGCACCCAAAGTCAAGTTAGTTAGCCTTTACTAAGGTACACAAAGGTTTGGCAACTTGTGCATGTCTTGAACAAATTTAGGTCTGAACACCTTTGTGTCTGTTCTGGATTTTAAAATCACGATGGTGATCACTTCACCAGCTTTTGCGATGGTGAAGTGATCTCTCTGCCATTCTTCCTATATTTTGTAAAATTTCTATTTCGTGTAAAGATTTTTCATTCTAAAATTTTCTGTTTTCTTTAGGGAACAGCAATATTACAGTCTGGAGTCTTACCAGCTATACCAGGTAGGAGCCATTTAGTTATTTGCTTTGTTAAAGAATAATACTTAAGTCCCAAATTGTGATGAGAGAAACAGATTTATGGAAGCAGAACTAAAGACAATATTGAGAAATATCCTGTTTGTGGGTGGTTTTGCTGCTGCAATTCATGACTGACAATTATGAAATACATTGTAATCTGTAGTATCTTTGGTTGCAAAGATTAATATATCTGTTTTTCCCTTCCTTTTGTAATCTAAAGAGGTGCAAAGTTGTCAGTTTCCATATAAAGTTGTTTAGTGCTTTTTCTACTTACGTAGTCGAAAAACATCAAGGAAGTGTTCTTTGTAGGCTATATTAATACCAAGGGGAAACCTGATTTATATGTTCAGCGTGTACACCCAGTTTTCTGAATAACACAAAAACACAGGAATGCTTCCTTACCAGAGGCAACATGGAGATGCTTCTCTCATGTCAGTGGAACTACTGACCAACCGACAAAATCAGTAAAGGAAGGAAGCTGGAAAGATTATTTAGGCAAAGGTAACACACTGACTACCTTTGCACCGTAAATCTGCCTATCAGGAGAATGTGTTGGTCATCTGGAGTTCTCTGTTTGATGTAACCAAACTGGTCTGGTGCCTTTTGTATCATCATTTTACTTCAAAGACAACATTTTGTAAGCCTTTGGTTTTGTGTACTGTCTCCATCTTGTTCCTTTGAGAGATCTGTGCAAAGAAGTTGTTTAGTATCTTAAACATCTTTATATTCCTTATACTGTTTACCTGATAATTCAGTAGGTCCATTAAATTATCAGGTTGCCTGCTTCCAATAGACATAGAACAGCTTTTTGTGTTTGTGTTGCTTTATTACTTTTAAAAACGTTGGCAATTACGTAAAGAAGTATAGCTGATTGATACTAGTGTGAACAAATCCGGTAAGCTACCTAGGATCAGGAGGTGTCTCTGGAGAAGTGCATAAGTAACTCTATTCCTTTGTCTGTCTTAGCAGGGGAAAATCCAGAAGCATTTAGCAGATCTTGTTCCTAGTTATTCCACTTGAGTCAGTGGAATTACTCTTGATTTATAGATGTGTAAGTAGAAGCACAAATTGGATCATTAACTGTAATTTTATCTTTCCTTCTGGTACTCGGGTTTCTAGTCCTCTAATCAACCCAAGGAAATCAGAGCACTTATGATTAAAGTGTATGTAAATACAGGGGAACTTGGGTCTATAGCTGTGTGTGGTGGGCACAATATTATTTCTGCATTAATTTCAGTGGCAAATTAATTGTGGATGCAAACAATATCTAACAAAAACTTAATCTCAGACTATTCATGCAGATGAAGGAGTTAGCTGTTTTGATAAAACCTATCATTAAGCAAATTGGAAATGTGGAAATACAGGATAGATTTTTAGATCAACAGAAAGGGAAGATTCAAGACTGAAGAAATTTGAGTGGGTGGGTTTTCGTGTCTGGTACATCAGGAAAATGTTGTTTAAGAAAAGAACTGAACACTTGTTGGAATAAGTATAAATGCTTTAGGCAAAAGCAGCATCTAAAGCCAGTGACTGAAGTTTTTAGCTATCTTTGTGGGGTTTCATCTCTCAAATGCTCTCGTTATATACCTGTAGAACTTTATTCTTCAATACTACACTTTTTTCAGAATACAAAAGAAACCCATGTTTTCTCTGCCTCGTCGCATTTTTATTATCCTCAGATATTTAATTTTAAAAAGTATTGTCTTTTATGCATGTGAACATTCCAAGTATAATTGAACTTGGTGTTGCAAAGCTTTCAAAATAGTACTGTCGCCTTTGAATGTTTTGCTTCTACCATCTTTAATCCAAGCCATTAACTGAGGGCCCCTGGGTGCTGAGCAGTTATTCAAAGAGTTCTGTTGGACTAAAGGAACAGCATTAGAACCTTTCTGTGTTTCTCTATTATGATTTTTTAATCCATTGTTGGATAACATAAGGGCACACTAGTTTGAGGTAACTACTTTCAAAACCTGTCTTGCGGATGTACATGGCAAGACACCTCTACTAGCATGAATGACTGTACAATGACCCAATACACAGTTGTAATGTTTGCTAGTGTACCAGTCCACTTAGTCATAAACATATCTCTTTTTTATCACAGAAAGGATTGTATTGTATTTTCATTCAAATACACTATATGAACGCAAACCCACTTCTTCCAGTGCTACAGGTGCCCACATGTTCTGTACAATATTTTTGCTCTTGAATGCCTCAGTTCTGTAGCAACAAATGGAGTTAAAGTGTCAGGATCAATTGTTTACATATTTTTCAGTTTATTGGTAATGAATGTGGGTGACAATATTCTCTTTCTACTGTTAGTTATATATGCTGAGCAATAGACTGCAACTTCAGAGAAATGTGGTTAATTCTAATGGCAAGCTGAAAAGTGTTCATAAAAGTGGCAACAATTCTGAATTGTACTACTAGATGGAAAAAACAAAGTTGGGGTGAATAATCCTGGTTTAAATAATTTGGTTGCCTTTGTTATAAAAAACTTCGTAAAGATTGATTAGAAAGAGAGACTGAATTAGATCCCTTGCATTTGTAGGAGGAAAGCATTCCCGTTGTTATCATAGCTTTGTACTAGAGATCAAGGTAAGGGATTCTTTGGAGTTGTATGATATGACAAATTTGTATGAACCTCTATCATGGTATTTAACAAAAATGTGATTTGGATTTCCTGATTTCTGAGACTGCTGGATTCTGGAGGCACCTAGGTTTAGTACATTTGGTCTAAGAAGTTCTCATGGGACCTGTACAGAGTTTCTCATGAATGCTTAAGAAATTTTGTAGCATGATCTAGCGGATGCAGTTTCAGAGTTATGTATGTAGGTCCTTTTCTCAGGAGCTGCTTATGTGTTTTGAATTAAGGGATCATGGACGAGATGCACATTCAGTGTTGAAATGTGGAACCAAAAGACAGCACATTTCTTCACAGAATGGCGAGCTGAAGAGCTTGTCATCATCTTGATTATCTTTCTGGTACTATAAATCAAAGTACTGTAGGAAAAACAGGGCTGAAGGGGTTGTCTAGCTCAAGCCTCTGTCCTGAGGTTAGGATGTACTTCCGTGTGTATGTCTGACAGGTGTTTGTTTAGCACGTTCTGCAATGAGAATCCTTAATCCACCTTAAACCATCTGAAGTCCTTTGCTATTCTTACATTTAGAATGTGTTTCCTAACAGCTGCGGTGTTTCTTGCTGTGATTTAGGCCTGTTACTTAAATCTTGTGCTCCTCTCTAGTTCATTGCAACAGCTTAGATAGGAACCTCCAGCCCTTACTTATAATGTCTCCATGGTCTCCTCCAAAATATTTGGATTTTCTCAGTTGAGTAGAGCTCGGTCACAGCTCTCCTGTTTTATCAATGATGTTTAAACCATGAGGTTGTTTTTGGGGGTGGGGGGAAATGCCACTATTTCTGTCCTTGGTTGCCAACCCTTCCAAGTGAACTGAGCAGTCTGAATCCCAAGAGTCCTATTTAGAGAAGCTAAACTGAGAGCTGGAATGGGTTTGCAGAAGTGCGTAGGGTCCCTCTGCAACCCCTGGAGAAGGCATTTCATGCACCCTGGAGAAGGCATTTCATGCAGGCTCTATGCACCGTATTTCAGAAACTTTTGTCCCTTCCCATTAGCTACAGGGAAGCTGATTGCCTAGGCATTCCCAGGAGCCAGACCCAACCCTGGGCATTTCAACACCCAAATTAAACATCTGTAGTGGGAGGTCTGATCTCCCTTTTCTTCTGTGCTGCAGGCTCTGGCATTACAAAAATCAATAGCTGAATGGGAAAATAAGTTAACAAATATCCTCCAGTGGAAGCAGTATGCTTTAATATTGTTCAGTTTTGTGACTTTTAAATTATCTTTTCTTTTATTTTTGTCTGTGCAGTTCCATTTTTTCCATATTCCATAGGAGCAAATTCATCAGCATTGCAAAAGACACTCTTGCTATCTGACAGCCTCTTTGCTGTAATACCAAACCTACACGATGCTTGACGGGAAATGTTCTGAGAGGATGAATTAAGGAATAAACATAAAACAATGCTGTGGCTTGGAATTCAGCGGAAATGTCAGCTGAATGCTGATTATAAACATTGTATCTCTCTTAAATTGTTCCTAGGTAGATAGGGAGTCAAGGTAGGGAGATAAAAAGAAAGAATAAAATTAAATATATAACAGCTGATAGGTGCTGAAAATGAACTCAGCTGTATGACAGCTTAGCTTTTATGATTGAAAAATAGGCTTTCTTTCATGCATTTTAAAAATTTTTATTGTGAACCTATGCAGCCTGATACTTCTATTCCAAGCTTAGGAGTAAGCTTTCAAGGAATTAATTGAGAGCAGTGAGAAAGAAGAATCTGGGCCATACTGTGTTGGTTATTGTTGCTTAGGTTGAAAATAATTTATAATTCACAATTTTTTTTTCAGGAAATGTGTTGTCAGCTCTTCAGATGTAGGAAGACAAAGTACGCTGTGATGCTTTTATTGAGCCAGTAAAGGGCTGTGTGCTGAACAGTGTCCACCATAAATATGTCATACCTCATAGGGCTAAACACTGTAATAGAAGAGCATTATTATAATGACAAACTTATTAATAAAACCCTGCCATATGACATGCTTTTTCTTGATTGTGCTTTATTTTATAAGTGCACTCAAAATAATTCCATAGGGGAAGAAAAACAGGAGCTCAGAAAAAGTGGTTTAAGTAAGCTGATTAAAATACGTATTGCATTTGCGAGCTAAACCTTGGCCTTAGTGACTCTCTGAATTACTAGGGGCCTGACAGGAGATGGAAAAAAAAAAGCCACTGTGATGAAACCATATGCTAGTGAATAATCCAAATGCTGCTACTTCATCCTCTGGGCTGAGTAGGTCCAGCAGGTTCCTGTTCCCTGTTTTGGGGGTGACAGAAGGTGGTAAGGCCATGCCACAGTGACCCTCTAGTCCTGCCTTTTCTGTATTCCTGATTTGCTTCCCCATGCCTCCTCT